ATATATATATATATATCTATGGTGTAGACAGCATCACTGATTATAATGAGTTCTATAGTATTTTGTCGCGCCGCGCCACTCGCGTCCGGTGTAGACACTGTGTAACATTGGTTTTGCTTTGTTTCACAGAACTAATCGTTGCCTGGGTTGCGTACGTATGTGTGGGGCGGAACTATCAAAATAGGGGCGAGACCCTTTTGGGGTAGGGGCGTGTTTATTTTGGTGATTTCAAATGTTAACATTGGCTACCAGAAATCACTTACCCCACCTTTAATAACAATACTTAAGGCAAGATTTTCCACAAGTGTTTTCCTGCCATTGCTAATGCCTGCTATCGCACCCCTTACTGAGAATGTAAAATGTCCTTACATTTATTGAGCTTGCTAGATCCCATACTTGCATTTATTTACTTGCACAATTTGTTTCAGGCTTCAATACTTAAAACACTTTGCTTTTCACAAAAACACATTCGGATGCAGTAAACCTCAGTATCTGACATATAAACCATTTAGAAGTTTCTACAAGTAGTCTCTCTTGATAGTTTGGCCATTATTTTAAAAGAAAAGTGAGAAAATAAATAAAATGCAAGCTGTTTTTTGACCATTGTCGGCCACCGTATTAAACAACTTATGGTAGATGGATGAAACAAGTTCCCTTCATTTTAGCCTTTTCAGAGCATATGGGTAGTATTTGAGGAAGATCCGATGTGCAATCTCATATGTGTCCCCTAGTGGTTTGGAGGGATATTTCCTCTGGTTGTAGACGAACCCTTTCTCAACCTGGAACACGGCCTGGTTGAAGACGTCTTGTTTGAAGGGTCTTCCTCTGTCCAGACACTCCACTAGTGTATTAACAAACAAGCCCCAGCGCTGTAAATAATAGTCTTCCACTAGACCGCCCCACTCCTTGCTGGCATAGTCCAAGATTTCCCCATCGGGTCCCCAAAGGGTGATCTGATTTCGTGCGTTGATATCATACAGCTGTGCCTCGTGCTCATCCACACCCTGAGACTGAGCCTGCTCAAGCCAGACTCCCAAAAGGAAGTGTTCGTTGCTGGAAAGGAGGTGGTTCAGTTCAGGTAAGAGATCGTAGACAAGCACGCCACCAGCGGTTAGGAGGTCGGGAAGCTTTTGAGTCTGAGAATCATACAAATAAATAAACATTTCAAAGCTGTAATTTTGTAAACAATAAAGGTGCAGTTACATTTACCATTGTTTGATGAATTTTAATGGGCGAAATCCAATCATTGCAATAGAAATCAATGAATTTGGGAATTTTGCATGAGGGCAAAAGATTTCCCCAAGCAGATTTACCCATTCACAATGGGTTCAAGTTGGTAATGAGAATTTGGTGTGTTAACCAACAAAAAGCTGTTTGGTGTGAAAGTGACTTCTTTGGGAGCTGTGCTTTATACATCGCTACACTATTGACAATAGACAATGGACATTTATTTGCCCATAAAATTTCACAAAAATGTCGCTAATGCGAGGGCTTTTGCCTGAAAATTTGGTAATACTGTGTACCGCGGTACCAAATCCAAGACTAGCTGTAGGAACTGGTCTGAGTTCGGTTGCAATGGGACTGTGGTGTGATTGGCATGAATATGAAAGCTACTTGAACTTGGATACAAACAACTGTGAGTATGTAGTGTAATCGTGCATTTAAAGCTGCAATTAAATGGTTCGCAATTAAAAGAGTCTTCATGTGACGCACATAGACACAAGCGTCAATCAATAGAACCAAATTAAAGGAGTAGTTCACTTCCAGAACAAAAATGTACAGATATTGTACTCACCCCCTTGTCATCCAAGATGTTCATGTCTTTCTTTCTTCAGTCGTAAAGAAATTACGTTTTTTGAGCAAAACATTTTAGGATTTCTCTCCATATAATGGACTTCTACGGTGCCCCCGAGTTTGAGCTTCCAAAATGCAGTTTAAATGCAGCTTCAAACGGCTCTAAACGATCCCAGCCGAGGAAGAAGGGTCTTATCTAGCGAAATGATCGGTTATTTAAAAAAATTACAATTTATATACTTTTTAACGTCAAACACTCATCTTGTCTAGCTCTGCGTGAACTCTGTTTTTTTCCGGTTCAAGACAGTTAGGGTATGTTGAAAAACTCCCATCTCATTTTCTCCTCCAACTTCAAAATCGTCCTACATCGCTGCAGAGGTACCGACCCAGTGTTTACAAAGTGAACATACAAAGAAGGTCAAACGCCCTTTACAAAAAAACGGTAAAACAGCGATTTACATTGCATGCGATTTGTTGTGCAGCCCTACATGATATGTATCGTTACCATGCAATAAAATTAGGCTACTCATATTGTGATATTGTGAAAATTTTGGTCTTATCACCCACCCCTACCCTGAATGCAATGCAAGTCGCTTTGGATAAAACCATCTGCCAAAAGCATAAAAATGTAAAAAATAAAATAAAATAAAATAATACTAGGACTGGTTCACTAGTTCATTGACATCAAACATAACAGTTAAGTTTGGGTTTACCTGGAAAGCATTCCGTATTTCCTTGTAGAACTCAGTTGTAAGAAGCTGAAGCGCTTGACGCGTCACGTCCACAAGATCATACCGGAAGGTTTCCAGAGTCGCTAACCCTGGCGCGGCTTCAAACAGAAGCTTCCACGCCTTGTAGAAGTCAGCCGGTTCGTACCAAATGTCCGTTTGCATGTGCAGGGACGGCCGATGTACCAGCGGACTCCGGTTGTGGTTCTTGTATTGCGGAAGAGTGCAGTTGTACACACTATGAAACAAGAGCTGCCAGGCCGCCGTCAGGTTCTCATCCATACTACCATAGCGTCGCAAGGCGTACAGCGACACCCACTTGGAAAGGTTGATGGGTTCTTTGCGCCAGGCCAGTTCGCTCATAAGTTCGTAAATGACTGGATTCTGTTCGATGCCTTCGGGGGTCAAACCCAATCCCACTAGGGTTGAATTCGGAAAGTGGATGGCATCGAAGGGGCCGGAATTTATGCTCTCCACCGTTCCAAACAGACCACTGTTCCCTCCAAAGTTGTGCAGCATGCACCAGATAAATGGCTGGCCATAGAAGGAGTTTGTGGAAGAGTAGACAGGCATGGATTCAGCAAAGATATCCAGGACAATCATGCGCCCCAGGGGGACGCCATGTAACAGGGCCTTGACCTGGTCTGGTTTCCAGAACGAAGGGTCACTGATAAATAACCAGCCTTGCATCAGCCAAATTGCTTGAGGGTCCACTGCCAGAGAGAGAGTAAAGGGAGAGAATAAGAGACCACAACTCATCTGTGTGAGCAGTTGTGAGGGCGCCATGCTTCATCCCATCACGGGGTTGGGAACCCCAACTGTGCCCCAGAAAATAAGCGGGTCAATTGTGGGTTTTAAAACTAGAGCAAATGCAAACCCAAAGAAACATGAGCAACTTCCACATCTAGGACAATATCACAAGTTATTTCCAGCACCAACTAAAAAGGAGTAACAATGTCATAGTTACCTGAAGTCATAGTATTAAAAACAGCACGGCTGATAGACGCCAGGTAAGCGGGGTCCGAAGAGGCTGGGGCCATTTCATTAAAAGTGTCTGTGTTGTAAATGTGGTCTGTTCCGAACTCCTTAATGA